CCCTGTTCTCCCCCCAAAGCCCCCCTCACGTATGCAAATCCCGATCAATCCCATCTCTCTCCAGCCTCGCCTGCTCCAACAACTTACTCTTCTTCGCCGCCGCCTCATTAGCATTTCTCAGGCGATTGTTCCCCACATACCCACCCACTCTCTCCTTCTGATTTAACTTCTCGAGCTCCCTGCGCGCCTCCTCGCGGTCCTTCTCGGGTAAACCCCACCACTCGCGCAAAAAGGCCTCTTGCTCGGCCTTGCGCCTGGCTTTGCGCTCGCGCTCCCGGGCGCGCTCCATACGTAAAGCAAACCACTCCTCGCGCGCGGCGTCCTGCTCGGCGGGCGTGGCGTGCAACTTCATGCAGTTGTTCATGACCCGGTGGGGTGCACGGCAGGCGAAGGGGACGGAGAAGGTGCGGCCTAGGGCGCATTCGGCGAAGGCTGTGAAAGACAGGTGGTTAACTATTGAGTGCTAGAGAGGAGTGGAAGAAGAAAAAAAAAAAGGCGAAAGGGTTGAGGAGCTTGGTGGTGAGGAGTAGCTACCAGCTACCGCCGACGGGGCGGGAGATGAAAAAAAAAAAGAACTAAACAAAAGGAATCACACGGGGATAGAAACGCAAAATTCAAGGAACAGAACCAACCCTTGATTTCCTCAGTACATTGCCTTCTGACCCTGGCGTAAAAGATGTCTCGGACTTGGGCCTCCTGTGACGCCGAGAGAGGCAGAGGGTTCCTGGAGGGCATCGGCAAGCGCTCTACTTGCTTGTCTGTTTGACCATTACTGCTGCTGCTGCTGCTGGCACTCCCGAATGTTGATGGAACATCGCCGCCCATGGTGATCTTTTAAGCGACGGCAAGTGGTGGTTTTGTTGGAAATGGTTGTCGTCGAGGGTGGAGGAAGAAGATTCGAGTCCGAATACCTAGGATGGCGAGCTCTCTCGGATCGATTGGCTTGGACGGGACGGGATCTCGAAGGGACGACTATGACCTATTCTTTAAAGCGTAGCCTGGGATTCGAGTTGGACACAACGGCAGGTCGTGTGGTGAAAGGCTCTGTCGGATGCAGCTTGGTGATGCTGCTGTTTACCAGCCGTCAAGATGATGAAGGACTAGAACTACACAGTACTTACTTGCCGCGGCGGACTACGAACTACAAAGCGGAAGTACCTTTCTGAGCTTCAGGATCTGAACCCCACCAGGCACCCGCAAATGGTGCGATGCCAAGCCATCCGTGCAGTGGAATCCGCCCATTCCGCCCGGTGCATCGTGCTACACTACAACTGGATCAGCTGTGGTGTGTACTAAACTCAAACTCTCCGTTTACTTTGGTCCAGGAGAGCTTCAATTACTCTGTAATTTATATGTTGTGGCAATTTGGTAATACAGACAAGACTTTTCTTTTTTTCAAGTATTTTCTCCGCTTCAATGACGGCCAGTAGTATAGACAGACAGCCTTTTGGATACGCTTGATCTTTCCACGGGGTCAACAACATGATGGGGAAGACACAACCCCGGCATATACAGACGACGCACATGAACAATAACGACCTTTCAGCCATTCTTGTCCTCGATCTCATCACCGTCCTGAGCCGCTGGCTTCTACACCTCTGGCTTCATGACCTGAGTCCTCTCCCTTTCCAGCTCCACGCTCCCCCTTTCCTTCTTTCCCTTCTTGCCAAAGTTAAGCCAGCTCACGCCAGGAGTTTTATTCTCCTTTGCAGACTTGTCCTTGACGTTGCTGGCTGAGGCCGACGGACCAACGTTCGGACTACTGGTGACACTTTCATAGCTGCGGGCCAAGAATGCTGGGCCCAGCGCGTCCTCGCCGAGATCTTCGAGGTTATCCATACTCGACCGATCACCAATCGAAACGCCTCTATCCGAAGCACTGGCCGTACTTCCGGGTCCCTTCTTGAAGAGACCACCCCCCGAACGGCCCGCAAGGCTGAACTTGCCCGAGCTTCCCTTACGAAACAGCTTGCGGACTACGTTGTCCTCCTTGAAGCTGCCTGACAGGCCAGTGCTCAGTGCCTCCGAGGGGGTGTTTGAGAAAGAGTGTTCGAGGGAAAGAGATTCGTGAGATTCCGTCATCGAGACTGACGTCCGCGTAGGCTCCAGCAACATCCCATCGCGAGACTTACGGGACTCCGTAGGAGATTCCAGCAACATCTCTATTGAGGCTACAATCGGAGTCACGTGGCTCGGGGATGCACTACCTGGTTCCTTGTTCTTGGTAGTCTTGTCTTTCCCTTTGTCCTTAGCTTTCTTTGCCCCATCCTTTTCCTTCTCCTTCTTGAACAATGACCCTATGCTGAAGGCTGGAGCGTTGGGGTTCAAACGTCCAATGGCTTTATCCTTGTCCTTGGACGCATGTTGTGGCGGAGGTCTGCCAATAACACCAACCTCATGAACATTGGGCAGTGGTCCTTCGTCCAGAATCTCGTCGTCGGCAGAGGCTAACGTCGTTTTCAGCGCAGACGGCGACCCATGCAGGGACGGCCGGCGAGATGGAGTCCGAGACCACGGTGCGTCTTGCGCCCAGATTCGGCTGGTTTTGACAAGTCCTGCTCCGTCCGAAGCGAGGGGTGGGCCCCAAATCGACCCGGATTCCGTCGAAGGCCGTGGGAACTCGTTCGACGCGATACTAGCAGGTCGAGGACTACTAGGGTCACGTTCAGCAAAGATCCCAGCAGCCGGCCTTGAAGAGCTCGCAAAGGGGTTGAAGCTGCGTGTCGAAAACATGCGCGAAGCGGGGGATGGGCCATCAAGTACTTCAGGGGTAGCCGAATGTCGGTGGAACACGGTCCATGTGCTCGAGAGACTGATACGTCGACTTTTGGCCAACGCGTCGTTTTCGTCCGTCTGGCGAGGGAAAGACTGGCTCTGTCCATTTTTGAGGCTCCCGAGCATTGGCCCCTCGGTCTCCATGACCTTTGCAGCCCTGGTCCTTGGGAAAGTGAAGAGGCTGCCTATCTTGCGCTCTGAACCCACCGCTCTGTTGGGCGACCCTATTCCGGTTGTTGCGTTCAACGACCGGGGATCGGGGTGATCCCCAGAAAGGGCAGGAAAGGCCAAGTTCAGAGACGATCCATGAGGGCTACCTACCAAGCTGGGAGATTCCCCTGAAGATGTAGGCGATTGCGGCTCGTTGTCCAGAGAGTTGCCTGACTGTGAAACAAAGTTATCATGTGCGTATCTGGCTGCCGGGCTCGGCTCGTCGTCGTCTAAGTCGTCCAAGATGTTCGAAGGAAGCAAGGCCGTAGCGGATGGACTGAGAGGAGCAGAGGTGGCTCTGGAGTTTTCGTCGTGACGCGACTGCATGTCCGCCGAAAGGCCCATCATGAACGGTCCTTGGGCAAACCCGGGGGGCGCATTTGCCGATCTCACGCTGGCATAGCCGCCATTAACAGGTACAGTCGGATCAAGCTGGGAATATGTTGGTAACGGAGACGGTACCGACACATTGGCAAGTGAGCTGGTCGTTCTGCTTCGTCTCTTGGTCTGGCCAAGTGCTCCGCTCTCAAATTCCAAGCCCGAAGTGTTTGCCTGGCTGTAAAGACCGAAAGGGGTGGGAGGGATTTGCTGTATCTGCATCGTCAGGGAGCGAAGATGATCATCAAGTCGCCGAGTAGTCCTGTTCTCGAAGTTCATAGTCTCCTGGAGTTCTCTATGGCGCCGATGCCAGTTTCTCCTGAGCTCGGCCTCTTTCTCACGCCATTCCGCGTCTTCCTCGCCACCAGGAAGCTTCTTGCGAGCTTCTTCTAGAGCCCGAACTTGCTCCCTGAGCTCTTTCAACTCTGCTTCTAAACCGACGCAGGACGCCTGAAGGTCACTGTTAGCGTCACGCAGTCGCTCCACCTCTTGATCGTGACTTTTTTGTAGCTGTTTGGTTTCCTGCTCGAACCCTTCCCTCCCCTTGCGCATATCCTCAATGTCCTCTTCCCATTTGGCGATGTCGTCGTGAAACTTGGAGCGTTCGTTTTGCTTTTCTTTATAAGCCTTCTCCTTGTGGGCTTTCCGGGAGAGGGCATTACGCATCACCCGATCAGTAAGGTTGACATCTCTCCTCAGCTTTTCAGTCTGTTCCTCCTTTTTCTTCTGCTCTCTTCTCTTCTCCTGCTTTTCAGCCTCTAACTCGTTCAACAGGCGTTTGATGTCATCTTCCTCCTTGGTCATCAGCTGTGTCACCTCTTCTGTCTCTTTCCTGATGCTTTCGAATCGTTGTGTTAACTCTGGCAGCGTCTGTGTGGGATCCTCCGCAGCTTCTTCCCGTACCAGAGGCTGATCAAGGCTGGCTGTCGACGGCGAGTGACGCCTGGTAACCGTATTGCGGCGAGGCCCCGCGGCAGCAGCAGAAATTCCATCCCGGGTCGAGGAAGCACCACCTTCCAGAGCTGTTGCGGTCTCCAATGCAAGAATGGGAGGTCGTGAAGATGCATTCTCATCCAACGGTTCAGATTGTTTCATGCGGCTGGGTTCTTCGATCGTAAAGCTGGAGGGCAACCGGGCATTACCGAGCTGGGGTCGTCCGTCTTGAGCGAAGGTGCGTAAGCGTACCACCCGACTGCCGGCCTGGAAGTTGTTGGATCCAACAGCAATGACGCGAACATTATAAAAGTGATCTGGCTTGAGACCGCTGACGACTATTGCGGGATCTTGGTTTGCCGGAACATCCCCCACTATATGAATATGTTAGGGTTTTGCCTTTTGCGTGGCGGACTGGTTGCCACCGAGTTCCAAAGGAATTTGTCCAGGCGCCTACTCACCAACTACCCCGTTGACTTGAATGAGGAACTTCTGGAAAGAGCGATTGGGCGGTGCGCGCGTCCAGTTGACTGTCGCCGAGTTAGGTTTAATACCGGCAAGCGAAACCTCTGGAGGATCTGGCACATCCACGCCGAGGATGCTTATCAGTTCGGGAACTGGTTTCCATAGCGTCTGCCATGCCCGCTGCACCAACCTACAAGCGCATGCGCACGCAGTTAGCTCACAGCCTGGACCGAATCAAACGAGGCGACGTCGTGATGGGATGACAGGTGCGGGTCCAACTTACCAAAAGACAGCTCCACCCGTCAGCAGCATGCTGGCATGCCTGAAAACCCAAAGATCGATGCGAGCCGTCGTAATGGTGTTGAGCGCAGAAGCGTATAAAGACGTCGCAAGCACGCGAACGCGGTCCGGAGCAACGGCCCAGCAAGACGCAAAGAGACTACCGGCTGCCACCAGGTTGAGAGCCGTGGTCTTAGACTCCGTGAACCACCAAGCAATGACGGCCGAGGAGATGAGAACCGTGGTCACCAGCGATGGCCATGAGGTCCATAACATAGCGCTACGATAAGTGCGAATAGGCCAGCTTGATGTCGATATTCCGAAGGGTCGGGCCGAGATGGGTAAGTCTCAAGGTCTCGAGCGAAGATGCGAAGCCCGAGAGGGCGCGATGACGTTGGCGACAGCAGGAGTTTGAATCGTGGTGGAGGAGAGAATAAAGGAAATTCGGTTGTCGTGGTTTCGCGACGGGCGACGGACCCAATTCCGGTCAACGAAAAGAAAAAAATAACACCAAAAAGGGGTTTAAGGATAGGCAAGAAGATACTCGTGTATCTTTGTACAAAAAGAGAAAATAAGAATGTGTACTGAGAAGACTTCCACAGACTCCCTCCTGTCATCCGTCGACTGCGTAGAGCTGGCGTGCAAAAGAACTGGAGTGAAGTGAAATGTGTCCAAGCTGGAGACTGAAGCCCACGACAGGGCAGCGGCAGGAAAATCAGTGTTATGGCACTCTGGGCCAGGTGGTTGCGAGTTGTCAAAGACTCCGTCTTGATGGGAGCCCGGGGCGTTGCATACAGAGTGGAAACCAAGCTGGAAAGAGGTGGAGGTGGGTGCAAAAGATGGACATCTCGGAAGTGGAAAGTTTGACAAGCGACAAGTCACAGCGGCGTGAGGGGCCCGGGGGCATCATGAGCCACCTCACAGCGCTCGGCGGGCGGACGGTGATAGCGGCAGCAGCAGCAGCAGAGCAGGCTGTCCGGCTGTGCTTTCCCTGCAAAAAGGATTTTCTCTTTCGCAGTGGGTATCCACATCCTGACGTCCCCTGCATTGTCTCTGGGGAAGTGGATATATGTCTGTTAGTGTAATACATCAGTATCTGCGGGAACTCTTAACAGTCCATGGGCTGGTACATGCTGAAACATCGTAGACATCAGGCCATGCGGCGCATTTCCACTTGACCTCAAAGCCGATCAGACCAAGGGACGGTAACTCCAGACAATCGCCAGCATTTCTACTTGCCTCCTAACTCCGATCCTTCACAGTTTTTGATGCTCCCCCGCCCTCCAGGATCCCCGCAACCGAAAGCCCATGATGGAATGGAAGTTCGCGATGATGCGCCTATCCCAACCCCGCCAGCCGCCTGCTCATCTTCCCCGCTATTATTCCCCAGCTTGCCCAGTCGATATTGCTCGCTTGAAGAGGGACTGGTGTGTGGAAGCGGGAGAGAAGGATTTACCCGAATGCTCGCGGGATGTTACGTGTACGACAGTCCTCTTTTCGCTTTAGATGGTGGACAAGATATATCTAATATGCCACGCGGAAACACCGCCTTGCCGTTCTGTCATGATACCACTTTTTGTTAGTCGCGAACAACCTAATCGGGTCTGGATCAGGAAGTGAAACCAAGATCATTGAAGGGGTCTTTGTTCAATTTGCAAACGCTCGGGTGATATCCCAGAGGGTTCCATATGGGCGCAAAAAGGTAGCTCTCGTCCTGAGCCAGAACTGCTAAATATGCGATCGGGAAAGAACTGTCTTGGCCTCTGATGCAGGATTGTAGGCTTTAGGCTTTCCCAAGTTTGAGAATACATAGCAGCTTGAGTGGAATGCTTGTAAGATGCTGCGCAATCTAACCCATAATATTCTCGTTTTTTCAAAGGTCAAAGAGAGTCTGCTGACAGCTTACTCTTCTTGTTTACCTATCCTGAGATTTCCTACCGTTCCCGTCACTGCAAGTAAGCCGGGTGGCGACTTACACAAGACTGCAATACAAAGTCGTTGCCTCGGACGGATCCCCGGATCAGCCTGCCATCTTAACTGAATCCCGTTGTGAAGACGATCTGGCCGTGAAAGGTACCTCTTAATACACTATACTTACTTGCTTTATACATATGTTGTAGCCTGCCTTTAGCTGGAAGGCAACTAAGTATAAAGCATCACACCATTTTTGCTTGGGGATAGGACTCTACTCATCAAATGGATCTGTTACGCCTCCGGATTTCCCAACAAATATCACCACCCACCCCCAAAGACTAAGGACGTACTGATCCTCAGCACCGGGCAATACGCTCAGGCTAGGATTGCCGTCCATAACCCCATTCGGTACTACACGTCTTCCAGGCAGCTGGGGTAAGGCTCTGCCTTGTACTGTATGCGGGACGAAGAAAAAAGGCGCTGGATAAACCATGGTTTCCCCAGAGGCCTCGCACTTTTGTAGATAGTGTATATATCTTGCCTCGCCCTTTGGGTACAGTTTGGTGTCACCAGGTGTACCCGTAAGCCGATGGAAACCCGGGATACACAGCGAGAGTTGACGTTCACGGCATGTCTCAATCCAGCTACACTACCTTCAGATTAGACGGCTGCAATACCGCCGGGAACAGACAATGGACACTCAGCGAGCGACTGCTTTTTTTCACAACGACTACCGCTTGTTGACGGCTCGTTGGATCACTATATATAACGTCAGTCAAACGAGACTGACAAGGTGAGAATATAACAAAGTTCCATTTCCAAACTCGCGGTGTCAGTGTCAGTCAGCAGGACATCAGGGGAACTTGAAGGGTACCTGGTAGTCCAGCATAACAAACATCCCCGTGACCGCTAATGACACCAATTTGTGCGGTTGGATTGGCCAGCCGTGTTAGCTCGTTGCAGACCGCCGAGGTACCAGGCTGGTAAATGACTATATTGCCGTCTTACAGGGTATCGCTAGAGACTTGCACCAAGTCGGTAAAGTGCGCGTGGGTTGATGACGGGGAACAGCCGGTGCAAATGCAGTCTTGTGCCTGTCTGCTGCCCTGACAACGAAGAGGCCGAACTCATCAAGACAGAATTAGATCTGATTGTTGAGAAGGACACCGCCCTCGTGATTCTGGAAGGTTGGGCGTTGGGGATGATCCCGTTTCTCTTTCCGCCTCACCGGATATGTAGAGGTGGATACCTACGTATTGTCTGGTAGTTCTACTGGTTTGTTGTTAACTTGGTACCTAGGCACTCGCTTGTAGAACACTGAATGAAATGTCTTCCGAATCGTCGCCAACCTGTCAAGGACTAAATGAATGGCTGGATATAGATCCGGACGGCATCCACAAAATTCAATACGGTGTAATTCAGTTCGGAAAAAGCATAATCGCCGCTTGAAAACCCACGGGGAAGTTGACCCGAGGTCTCGAGCTAACATTCATACCAGTATTGGACTGCACAACGAACAACCTAGCCGGTTCCTTAGTTCCTTCCCTTTTAGTTCTACTCGGCGGATCGCGATCCGTTCGCCATAACCCCAAAAAAACACAAAGTTTCTACAACACGAGCTCTTCGTTGTCATGCAGATTTTGGTTCATTAGTCCAAAGCATATGATTCTGAAGAAAGGATTTAAACGCCCCTTTCGGACTTTTCACACAGCGCTTTACCGTACTGCGCACACGGGCTGCAGCCACCACAGTCGTTTTGGCAATATCCACTCCCCAAGCACCCAGCATCCCACTTGGATTGCTACCTTCCTTCTCTTTCACTGCTTGAACCGCGGCAGACGTTCGTCATCAGATCCGCATTCACTAGGCAAAGTCCCCAAATCCTCAATACTTTTCTCCCGGCCTACTCGCACCGCCAGACGGGAAGCGAACGAGTCGGATTCACTCACGCACACCACGTTGAGTAACCATCCATTCGAGACGACAGAGTAATTGAGGCCGGGTGGTCAGAGCCTAATATCTCCCTACGCATATCGGGCGTTCATCCGGCCTTCCCGACCTCGCCCAACACACTAGAGAACCCCTACCGGTCGCCTACCGGTCGCCTACTCCAAGTCGAGAATCGAGATTGCGGTCGGCATTACATAAAGGTCCAGACCGCATGTAGCCTTGCCATTTGACTGCCCCCCCATATACCGACTACCGATATAACCAACAAATACCCCCTCCTTTCCCCTTTGACCATCCAGAGGGAGACATCCTTCGACGACAGAACGAGTTGCGATTGCCTACCATGCAGTACGTCAGGAGTCTCGGCGACTCTGTCTCTACCGCCTGGAACTCTATCAACCCTGCGACCCTCAGCGGTGCCATCGACGTGATAGTCGTTGAGCAGGAAGATGGCACCCTTGCATGCTCTCCCTTTCACGTGCGTTTTGGCAAGTTCTCGCTGTTGCGCCCATCCGAAAAGAAAGTCGAATTCAGGGTCAATGGCGTCAAGCAGGACTATGCCATGAAGCTGGGTGAGGGAGGCGAGGCCTTCTTCGTCTTCGAAACTACAGACACTATCCCTCAGAGCATGCAGACGTCGCCCATCGTGTCGCCCGCCTCTAGTCCTCCGCTCAATGCCGACCAGTCAGGGCCTCTACAAGAACCCGAATCACTCGATCTGAACTCGGTAGAAGGCAAAACCCGTTCTTCGAGCTTCAACCACAGGCCTCCTCCCACTGCTCTACTAGCACGAGACGGTAAGCGCTTGGTCCAGCTTCCACGCCGCCATGATCGGCATATACTGACAAGCATGGGTTATAAGGGTTGCTCACACCTCGTTCCGTATCACCAGATCCTATCAAGGGTGAATGGTCTCCGTTTCGCCCACATAGCGATGGCCTTCTGCGGCAATCAGCGCGAAGAATGCCAAGCGATGGCAGCACCCACGAAGGTTCAGAAGAAGGCGATAGCCACACCGAAAGATCCCGCAGCCCGCCGCCGCTTACAGCACCCGAAGCTCTTCAAAGGGCAATGAACCTTTCCCGAGAGCTCGCCGCCGCCAATATCCCTAACCACATCAGCGAGACCGGAGACCTCATGTTAGATATGACTGCGTTCAAGAACAATGAGGAAGACGCCTTCCGGGCCGAGATCCTTGCGCGCAAGATTCTCACGGACGAGCTTGATGGCAACTACGACATCGGCGCACTTTTTGGCGTTGACGAGCATGGAAACCTTTGGATCTACAGCAGCATCGAGGCGAAGGAGGCCGCCATGAAGAGGACGATGGACCCCCTACGCTCTGCATCTCACATGGGCAACATTGATGCCGCTTCTGACCCTGGGTATCAGAGCGATGCTAGTGATGCCTCAGCCGCCACGACTCTACCGATCCACAGGAGAGCTGACTCTGATGTCGGCCAGATGACCCTGCAGACACCCCCAAGCTCTCCTGGTAGTTCGGCAGCGGGTGATCCCAACCGGAACTACGCAAAGACCTTGAGGTTGACTAGCGACCAGTTGAAGGCCTTGAATCTGAAGCCCGGCGAGAACTCAATGAGCTTCACCGTGAACAAGGCTACCTGCCAGGCTTACATGTTTTTATGGAAGCACGAGGTACCCGTGGTCATCTCGGATATTGATGGAACCATCACAAAGTCTGATGCGCTTGGCCACGTGCTGAACATGATCGGGCGCGACTGGACGCATGCTGGTGTAGCCAAGCTGTATACTGATATTGTAGCCAACGGGTACAACATAATGTATCTAACGAGTCGGTCCGTCGGCCAGGCCGACACTACACGAACTTACCTCGCAGGTATCGTTCAAGACGGGTACCGTCTCCCACGCGGACCTACCATTCTCTCACCCGACCGAACTATGGCGGCTCTCCGTCGCGAGATCTATCTCCGCAAACCACATATCTTCAAGATGTCCACGCTTCGTGACATCCGCAATCTCTACGGGCCCGATCGCACACCGTTCTACGCCGGGTTCGGCAACCGTTTCACGGACCAAATCTCGTATCGCACGGTCGACGTGCCCCGTAACCGCATCTTCACCATCAACTCTAATGCGGAGGTGTCACTCGATTTGCTGAGTCTCAACAAACTCAAGCTGAGTTATGTCAACATGACCGAGGTCGTCGACCATTACTTCCCACCTGTCACCACGCTCATCAAGGGCGGTGGCGAGGATTACACGGATTTCAAGTATTGGCGAGACCAGCCTTTGGATCTTGACGAGTTCTCTGCCAGTGACACCGAGGACGAGCGCAGCGGTGGCCGAAAGACATCTGCTCCGGCTGTTGTCGATGATCATGAAAGTGAGTACGAGGAGGATGACGAGGAGGAAGTTGGCGACGGTCTTGCGGACAGCTACATCTCGAGAAACTCGGTGGATGATTACGAGGAAGGAAGCGTGGCAAGTGAGGATGGGGATTATGATGCAGAGGATGATGGAGAGGATGATGATGAGGATGGTGAGGAAGAGGAGGGAGAATTTGATGATGAGGAGGCTGCGCCCGAGCATATGGTTGATTCGGCTATGCTGGAGAGCGTGTATGTGGATGCCGATGCGAATGAGGGAATCATTGACGACGAGGACGCCGAGGGAGAAAAAATCGTTGAAGAAGAAGAGGTGGACAACGAGGAGGAGGAAGACGGAGGACTCGGCGCCGAGGAAGAGGAAGGGCTCAGACGTGCCGCTGCCGATCTCGAACAGGCAATGAAGGAGCAGGAGAGGAAGAGGGAACCAACTGAAGCTCAATTGCAAGTGCCGGTTGAGCAGCAGTCCAGGGACGGCTCAAGCTCATCGGTGTCGCCCAAGGTGATTGAGCCAGATGCAGATGCTGAAATTATTACTGGGATTAAGGATCTTACTGTTGAAAAGGAAGTGAGCTAGAAGAAGCATGTATAACGAGAAGAGGGTTTGTGATCAAGTATCGTTATCATGAAGAGGGAAGATGCTATTTGAAACTTTCAACAGCGATAGACTAGCACACACCCGAGGAAAGGCGGAGGAGGAGGAGGAGGGGGAGGAGGAGGATGAGGAAAATGGATGGAAGAGAGGTGATCCTTGGGCGATTTCCTCACATTGCATAGCGCGGCGCAACTGGAAGCAAAATACAATGTACTTGACATTTACGGTGCTAGTTTATTATATCACTACTCCTAGAAACGTCTACCTTTTTTTTTCTTTTTTTTTTTCTAGTAATTCCTGGTCCCATTATCTCCAAAATACTCTTGAGTACTCATTTAGGCTTGATAACAGCCTCCTGACCCATCTGGCGTAGGTGCGTATACGACGTGGAATACTCTTGCGAAAAACCTTTGTACGAAGTGACGTCGAAAATGATATCCGAATTTCTACTGCCGTTCTTCCTTAGGGATTAGCAAGGCAAATATAGTCATGTATAAAACTTTATTAACTGCTTGGTGTAAAGTTGAGCTCACTCTTTGGATGCTGTCACCTTTTCGGTTCCCTACTCCTAAACGCCATGACACCGTGAAGAGATACCCGGTGAAACTACAGTAAACCGTGAGAAAGAAGGAAAATTGTTCCCCTGACGATGAACCATCAATGGCCCCGAAACAGGAACCGGTGTCCGCGAAGCCAACTGTAAAGACAATACAGCCCCCTTCAAGCAAACATATCCACATCCTCCATCTCATCATTATCACCATCATCATCCCCAAACAAGTCATCCACCGTGCCACCCTCTACCCCATCCCCACCAATATCCTCCTTCTCTATCCCCTCCATAGCATCACCATTCTCACCCTTCTTGTTGATGCCCATCGCATCCTCCATGTCCTCATCACTACCTTCCTCCTCATCGCCACTTGTCTCATCCCCGCCGGCGATCCACCCGTCCCCCTTCAACCCCCAGCTAACCCCATTCAACACAAACCTCTCGCTCGGCAACCTTACCCCCCACTCATTCACACTGACCTTGGGCAACGCCACCTTATTCTTCTCCCTCGCCATCTCCATCATCCACTCCTTGCTGACACCACCACCGCTCCCGCCCCCGCTGCCGCCGCGGAATTGGAAGTTCAGCCGGCTGGCAATCGCCAGCTGCACCGCGTTACTTGTAATCGTCGCGTCGCCCACATTGACGGGGGCCGCGCCAGAAGAGGCCGAGGGCCGGGCGCCCGCGTGCGAGGTGTACGGGTCCGCAGAGAGGTGTAAAGCGTCGGAGAGCACGGCCGAGGTGTGGCGGTAGGCGAAGTCAAGCAACAAAAGCGGGACGCGCTGTTCGAAGGCTATTACGCCTTGCGCGGTCAGGAGGAGCTCGATTGTGCGGGCGTCGCGGGGGCGGGGGTTGGAAGCTGCTGAGGAGGCGGCAGCAGCAGCAGCAGTGGTGGAGAGGGTGTTGGGGTTGGATGTTGTTACTGCTGTTGATGTTGTTGCTGCTGGGGCTGTTGTGGTCGTTGGTGGTGGTGCTTGGGAGGCGGAGGAGGGCTGGGTGGCTAGTTGAGACTGGGATTGGGATTGAGAGGTTGCGGCCGTGGATGATGACGCTGCCGACGCGTTATTCTGGCTGCCGGGCGCGGGATTGCCGTTTGGGAGGGGAGCCGTGGTTGTGGCGGCGGCGGACATGGTTGGTGACTGCCGCCGATGGAGGGGGGAGGCTTGGTCAATTGGTGCTGAGAGATGCTATTTGGGGCGAAGCTGAGTAGTGTACAGCTCGCGCGGTGACTGGTACTTGTGTGATGTTTCCTAGTGGTTTTGTAGCAAGCAGATGGATTGGCTGATATCGAGGTCGGTTTGATGTTCGGCGCGGGGAGCTGGGTAGCTCTGTTCGCAGTTCGAGATAGATCTGATAGCTGGCGTCGTGTGTAAGGCGCGATTGGTTGTGAGGATTATGTGACTTCCGATGGTCGCGGAGTATCTTAGGATGGCGCGTTGGAAGATTTGGGTTTGTTCCGGAAGGGAGCTTCGGCGAAAGGAGAAGGCTTGAAGTTCGGATGCAAGTGGAAAGTTAGCTTTAGACGACGTGTGATGGAAGTTCGAAGTTCCGGTTCGTTCATTCTCACGCCGACCGGGAATCGTACCTCTAGCGGGCGCTAAGGCCAAGCCGCGGCACGGTCACTGACCCAGTGCAGCGCACTCAGCACTGCAGTGGACGATGTACAAGTAGATCGCAACTGGAGATCACTCGCACCGTGCCGCAAAACAAGGGCGACGAGCCTCAGGGCAGTTTAGCCTGCCGTAACAGCACAGACCATAGCTTATTTTCACCTGAGAGGGCGACGGCGGCATTGACATCGGCAAGGCGGCATCAAGCAACCCCTCTGTTGCTTGCCAGCTGCCGGCCAACGTCAGCGGTACAAGGAAGAAATCTGGAAGGAAAGACTTCTGGCACCGACAGGATGGCACGCGGGAAAAGTTCCCAATGCATGAGATGAGGGGCATTTGCATTGCCTCCCGTCACACTGCGAACCCCAACCCCACCATAGCGTCTGTCGATACATGGAGCGCGAAGTCGAGAAACCTGTAATTCCTGGTAACTTTCAGGTACACAGTACGTACTGATCCTTGTATCAAACCTTGCCTGCCGAGTTTTCGACGGAAAGAGGTGTGAATTGTGAAAGAGTCATACCAAATCACCCGATTTTCATAAAGCCCGAGTCTTTTCTGAGTGTACATAAGCGACACTCGAAGCGGGCCTCATCTTCATAGCCTGATAGCTTGTAATACTCCATCTCTGTATCTCACTTGACCTTGAGTTCAACCCTACGTCAGACTTCACCCGACACATCGACGAATTGGGGAACAGCACAATACCTAAAAGGCGAGAAAATCAAACAGAGGAAAACACCATGGAGACAACACTTCCCCTCCCCTTCCTCGTCGGTGTCAGTGTTCCTCCCGGACTGAATGACATCAAGGAGGGCCTCAGCCGGGAGGAAGTCTCGTGTCTTGGCTGCGTCTTCTTCGAGGTCAAGCCCCAGACCCTTGAGAAAATCCTGCGATTCCTCAAGCGTCACAATGTCGAATTTGAGCCCTACTTCGATGTAACAGCCCTCGAGTCTATCGATGATATTATCACTCTTCTGGACGCCGGCGCCCGCAAGGTGTTTGTCAAGACCGAGCAGTTGGCCGACCTCTCCGCATATGGCTCCCGCGTTGCCCCCATTGTCACTGGAAGCAGCGCTGCTCTGCTTTCCTCCGCCACCGAGAGCGGCCTTTTGCTCTCCGGCTTCGATCAGACTGCCTCCGAGGCTGCACAGTTTCTGGAGGAGGCTAGAGACAAGAAAATTACCCCCTTCTTCATCAAGCCCGTTCCTGGGGCCGATCTCGAACAGTTCATCCAGGTCGCCGCCAAGGCTAACGCCATCCCCATCCTGCCATCCACTGGCTTGACAACAAAGAAGGACGAGGCCGGAAAGCTTGCCATCTCCACCATCCTCTCGAGCGTCTGGAAGTCTGACCGTGCCGATGGTCTGCTCCCCACCGTCGTCGTTGATGAGCACGACACTGCTCTGGGTCTGGTCTACAGCAGTGCCGAGAGTGTGAACGAGGCCCTCAGGACACAGACTGGTGTCTACCAGAGCCGGAAGCGCGGTCTCTGGTACAAGGGTGCTACTTCCGGAGACACTCAGGAGCTCGTCCGCATCTCGCTTGACTGCGATAACGATGCTCTCAAGTTTGTCGTGAAGCAGACGGGCCGTTTCTGCCACCTCGATCAGTCCGGCTGCTTTGGTCAGCTCAAAGGCCTTCCCAAGCTCGAGCAGACTTTGATTTCGAGGAAACAGTCTGCCCCCGAGGGCTCCTACACTGCCCGTCTCTTCTCCGATGAGAAGCTCGTCCGGGCCAAGATCATGGAGGAGGCTGAGGAGCTCTGCACCGCTCAGACCCCCCAGGAAATCGCCTTTGAGGCTGCCGATCTCTTCTACTTTGCTCTTACCAGGGCCGTTGCCGCCGGCGTTACTCTTGCCGATATCGAAAGGAGCCTTGACGCCAAGAGCTGGAAGGTCAAGCGCAGGACTGGAGATGCTAAGGGTAAGTGGGCTGAGAAGGAGGGCATCAAGCCTGCGGCGTCCGCTCCCGCTGCCACTTCGGCCCCCGTCACCAAGGAGGCTGCCCAGGAGACTACCCCTGAGAAGATCACCATGAGACGTTTCGACGCCTCCAAGGTCTCTACCGAGGAGCTCGATGCTGCTCTCAAGCGTCCTGCGCAAAAGTCGTCTGATGCCATCTACAAGATCATTGTCCCCATCATCGAGGACGTCCGCAAGAACGGCGACAAGGCTGTTCTGTCTTACACTCACAAGTTTGAGAAGGCTACCTCTCTTACTAGCCCTGTCCTGAAGGCGCCCTTCCCCAAGGAGCTTATGCAGCTCCCTGAGGAGACCATTGCTGCCATCGACGTATCCTTCGAAAACATCCGCAAGTTCCACGCCGCCCAGAAGGAGGAGAAGCCCCTCCAGGTCGAGACCATGCCCGGTGTTGTCTGCAGCCGTTTCTCTCGTCCCATCGAGGCCGTCGGCTGCTACATCCCCGGCGGTACCGCCGTTCTCCCCAGCACTGCCCTTATGCTGGGTGTTCCCGCCATGGTCGCCGGCTGCAACAAGATTGTGTTCGCCTCTCCTCCCCGCGCCGACGGAACCATCACTCCCGAGATTGTCTACGTCGCTCACAAGGTTGGCGCCGAGTCCATCGTGCTTGCCGGCGGTGCCCAGGCCGTAGCTGCCATGGCCTACGGCACCGAGAGCATCACCAAGGTCGACAAGATTCTCGGCCCCGGTAACCAGTTCGTCACTGCTGCCAAGATGTTCGTCAGCAACGACACCAACGCTGCCGTTGGTATCGACATGCCCGCTGGCCCCTCCGAGGTGCTCGTCATTGCTGACAAGGACGCCAACCCCGCGTTCGTTGCCTCGGATCTCCTGTCCCAGGCTGAGCACGGCGTTGACAGCCAGGTCATCCTGATCGCCATTGACCTCGACGAGGAGCATCTTCAGGCTATCGAGGACGAGGTTCACCGTCAGGCTATGGAGCTTCCTCGCGTCCAGATTGTCCGTGGCTCCATCGCTCACTCGATCACCGTGCAGGTCAAGACCGTTGAGGAGGCCATGGAGCTCAGCAACAAGTACGCTCCTGAGCACTTGATCCTCCAGATCAAGGAGGCCGAGAAGGCTGTTGATCTTGTCATGAACGCCGGTAGTGTTTTCATTGGCGCCTGGACTCCTGAGTCCGTTGGCGATTACTCTGCTGGTGTCAACCACTCGCTGCGTAAGTTGCACATCATAACATGCTCCGCTTCACAAATTCTTCTGCTAACGTCAAGACACATAGCTACCTATGGCTTTGCCAAGCAGTACTCTGGCGTCAATCTCGCCTCGTTCGTCAAGCACATTACCAGCTCCAACTTGACTGCCGAGGGTCTCAAAAACGTCGGCCAGGCTGTTATGCAGTTGGCTAAGGTTGAGGAGCTCGAGGCTCACAGAAGGGCGGTCAGCATCCGTCTTGAGCACATGAGCAAGAGCAACTAGATGGAAATCTCTTGAAGTAGCAAAAAAAAAAAAGAACAAAATGAACGTAGTGGGTTGATCTATATCTGGGTCATTTTGGGCACATAGAGTAATGATAACGAGTTTTGAACATTGTACCGTTCTGTACAGGCTGAAGATCAGTACATGAATCTGATGGTAAATGTAGAGACTCAAACGTCCCTTTAGTTTTTCTCCCTATTCCAGAAGAGGTGTTCGTCCCTTGGTTTTCATTTTCATCATTATATCAACTTTTTTTTTCCTTTTTTTTTTTTTTTTTTTTTCAGATCATGCGCACATGAACGGGGAAGCACAGACGATCGAAACGTGAATGTCACAATGTCACTGCAGTGATGCTGCATTGCATGAAGCCGGCGTCCATCTCAATGTACTTGCAGTCTTGCACTTTGCATGTGAACCTCCCAAACAACCGGATCAAAGAGGGCGAAAAAAAAAAAAAAATTCGGAGGGTGGGTGGGAAATGGTTTCCTTTGGCATTTAGACCCCATAGCCGTGCACGCCCAGGTACAGACAGGTTCATCGATGTTGACATCGACTGAGTGGGACACCAGGTCTATCTATCTTTTTCCTGTCCTCTACTATGCAACCGCAGTACATCGGACAGCGGACATCTCGCTGTACCCCCACACCCACAAAGCCTTATAAAAAGCGCCACACCCGTTCGGAGGTTCGGTCGGTCGGTCCCACGAACTAACTCCGTGCCTCCCTGTTTACAGAGACTGAACGCTGGAGAATCTTACACTAGTTTCCTAACATCCGGCCTACCCGAGCGGGAAAAAGGGACAGACAGCTCATAGGCGAGGAGGGATTTGAAGATGGGGAACATTTTGGGTGATTCGAGAGGAACTAGGTACTGTATCATGATAGTTCGGGGCATATCTTAGCCGAACGGGACATTGTTGATACCTCGATATTATGATGAAGAGGGAGTTTTTGCATGTCTTGTCGAAGTCCAACTAAAGATCTGTTTTATCTTTCTTTTGATGTACCGATACCTAGATTCGGAGAATATGGATTCGCATTCATAGTGTATAAGTCTGAGGATCGTTTTATATCCTTGTCTTCCGCGGACTGTGAACAATCCTACAGCGAGCGAGCGAGCGAGCGAGCGGTCGGATGCGCTGATAGGTGCAATATACGGCCGCTTTCTCCGGTCGTGTTTACATAGTCAGCTCTGTGGGCATAGTACACTAAAAAAAACCCTTGCATTTCATGATCTGCTTGCTATTCATTCCGAGCTTTTTCAGTGGTCACATTTCGTCGAGAACGAAAGCAGCACCGTTCGATTCACAGCCATCCATCCATACATATGAATGGAAGAATCCATCCCCATCCCATGCTTCCTCCCCCCACTATGTATGTGACCACACGCTGCTGTCGAAATGCGAACGGTCTCAGGCACCCTCGTCCGACTGGCATGTAGCCCCGGGCCAAGCTACCCCGTTGAATCTATACATATCTATGACGGGTTTCAGGTCGTTTCGTTCGCTGTCATTCAAGTTTGAAACATCACTGGGGCCGTTGTTGGGCGGTATTAGACCCTTGGCTCCCTCCGAGCTGGCGGCTGGGCGGCTGGGTCGAACGGCAATAACGGAGGGACTTGAGAGGGACGAGGAGAGTCGGTTGGTTGGCTGGCTACACTACAAGCGTAAGCGTTCCCACCGAACCGACGAGTCCCGTTTTCCATTTGTGTGCCTTAACCATCATCTAGGGATGTCAGGGTTCGGCCGGGTCAGGGTATGTTTGGTTAACTGTTGTCATGTCCGATTGGGTACATATTATGGTAGGTGTCTCGAGAACAGTAGGTAGAGTACTCGGGTCTAGCGTTTGGATGATTACGCGAGATATGAGTTGTAGGCCGTCATGCAGTTGCTTGTCCGTAAGCAGAAGTTGCTTTGGGATATATTTCTCGTCTCTTCAAGGTCATGAGGTCCTGGGACGAACGGCATCGCCATTCAAAGGTTGAACATGAGAAACCTGAATGGCCTTTGCGTTGAGAAACAAAAAGTCAAGAATAGGATAGCGCGAGGATAGGGACGTGGAAGCAAGCAAACATGACAAGGAAGGTACTGACTGATAGGTGCTCAGCAAACTGCCAATCTCTGGACCCCAAGTAGCAGTTTGCTGTCAGTGTTGCTCGTGTCAGCCTTGGTAGTGGAACCTAAAACTGCTAACACAGCGCAGGTGCGCATGTAAAGATATTACCTATGGGAGGATCTGTATGGATGGATGAGATTATTGCTTGGTGTTGGTTGCGAGGCACTGCGGCTGTTTGGCTTTGCTGTGCCCCGTCGACGAAGAAATACGCGGAACCATAAAATGGATACCTACCTACTGTGTATGGGAGGTATCTACCGACGTAGCCGACGGATTCTAGCAACATCCCGACTTTGCTTGTAATGTACTATGAATGCACCACAGTGTTGCTCCTCGTGAGGATGCCCAGCGGCTGAGGTGCAGTGGGAGCTAGCTGATGGATATCCAAATTTCCCAAGCTTCCTGGCGTCGATATTGTTCGATCTGGTATGTACACCACCATTCAGCAAACATGCGGCGGGCTCTTGTTTTTTTTTT